ACATCTGTCATTTAAAATGATAGACTAAGCAAAATATAAACAAAACCGAGTTAAACGGTTTAAGGACAGAGCATCCACACTTTGCTCCATCCTTATTCTGCTCTGTCACTCATCGACAACCTGCCTGTTCTGTCTGAGGGCCGTATATTTACCACCGGTACAGCCTGCTCTGAGGACCGTTATGCACATGCTGTGCACAGACCCCGCAAATAAAACGCTTGACGCAGAATGCATGTGTGCATAACAGTCCGAGTGCATTACATTAAAGGTCCACTGAAGAGCTTTGAAACATGCAGCGTTATTCTATGTGATGACATAATTACGACATAATTATTGACTGGTCAATAAGAATAAAGCGTAGATATGCTGTTCTGAATGGACGTCAGGAACAGGATATTGTTAGACAGCCCACTCCTGTTAAAATTACACCAGAGTTACCGACCGCCACCGCGTTTTATTCGGGAATTTAATCCCGCGGTAAAACCACGTTTAATGTTCATAAACATACATATTTAATTAAAACATTACGTAATTGAGTGCAGATATGAAGGCAAGTAATCTAACCTGACACTGATATTACAGTAGCTAGTCTTTAAGGGGTCATCGGATGGCCATTTTCCACAAGTTGATATGATTCTTTAGGGTCTTAATGAAAAGTCCATAACATACTTTGGTTAAAATTTTACAATGGTAGTGTAAAACAACAGCCTTTTTACCTGGTCAAAAACAGCTCTGTTCACAGCGACCCATTTTGGTGCATGTCCCTTTAAATGCTAATGAGCTCTGCTCACCCCACCCCTCTCCCTCTGTGGGGTGACGAGCAGTTCTCATGAGTAGAGCCCGACCGACATATCGTTTTGCCGATATTATCGGCCGATATGAGCCTGTGAATAAACTTTTTTTTTTTGACAGAACATAATGCAGACAAAATGCTTGAAATGGTGTAATTACTTAGTTTGTCCAGCAGAGCGCGCTCCATTGTTTGCTACTGGGGACCTGGATGAAACACTTTAAAACTTAAGTAAAAGGAAAACCACTGAAACTTTGAACGGCCATATCTCCGTAACGGAATCCACACCAAATTCGGGGGATCTCTTCAACTCGAGGAAGCCTCTCGAACGCGAATCGAGTGTACGTCTCGAGGCTCTCTTTCGAATGAGACCACCGCCGCATCGATAGCCCCCGGGGTTCGGGAGTTACGGGTGGTTAAATTCACGGTCCGGCGCCGACCAATCTAGCGATCCCGGGGGGCTACCGACGTGCGGAGGGTGGCGTTCGAGAAGGCTCCTCGAGCTGAAGGGATCCCCCGAATTTGGTGGAGATCCGCCGGCGCGTTCGCGAGACAACGCTTTCACTTCAGTAAGGAGGTCTCTTGTTCAGGCAGCATTCACGCGTTGTCTTACTCGACCGTAAGTGCCCTGCGAAGTGGACTTCACATGAAATTCCGCCTAAAAATTGCTGTCCACCAACGTTTACCATCCAACCTGCCAGAACTGGAGAGGCTCTGCAAGGAGGAATGGCAGAGGATTCCCAAATCCAGGTGTGAAAAACTTGTTGCCTCTTTCCCAAAAAGACTCATGGCTGTATTAGATCAAAAGGGTGCTTCTACTAAATACTGAGCAAAGGGTCTGAATACTTAGGACCATGTGATATTTCAGTTTTTCTTTTTTAATAAATCTGCAAAAATGTCAACAATTCTGTGTTTTTGTCAATATGGGGTGCTGTGTGTACATTGAGGAAAAAAAATTAACTTAAATGATTTTAGCAAATGGCTGCAATATAACAGAGTGAAAAATTTAAGGGGGTCTGAATACTTTCCGTACCCACTGTATAATTAATATACACACATATATATATATTTTTTGTTCAAATAAAATAATGGCGTTTTTTAAGAATTAAATATAATCTGATTTTGGATTTTGACAATGAACACATTGCAACCATGCTTGGGACGGCCCACATAAACCAGCAAAAATGATTTACATGTCTTGAAATAATAATTTCTAAACATTAAACATTGACTGTCAGTCTTTATTCACCTGTTTCTCGTTGTTTCTCATTAAAATTAATTAAAGTAAATAGTGTAAATTACATCACTAATGTCATAGAATAGCACATTGTAACGCAGTGTTACAACGTGCCCCATGATAAATAACAGTTTGGAGATTAAAATAATAGCAGATTTGTCTAATTTTAAATGAATAATAAAAACTGAGATACATTTACTTAAGTCAGAATTTAAATGTTACTATGGTAAAATAAATATTAAAACCACGTGTGTTACAACTAACACCACGTTACTTTGTGCATCGCACTCATCGCAAGTTTATTGTTAAATTGTTAAATGCCCTTACATATCACCATTATAAGTGTTTGATCATCACATTTGAGTGATCATTGCAAAAACTGTTTATGTATATATATTCTGTTTATGTATATACTGTATTCTATATATAGTACCAGTCAAATATTTGGACACACGAATGGGAAAGTGTCCAAACTTTTGACTGGTACTGTACTATAATATACACAAAGAATATCGGCCGATATATCGTTATTGGCCTTTCTTTAACTCCCTAATATCGGTATCGGCCCCAAAAAACCCATATCGGTCGGGCTCTACTCATGAGACATTAAACTTTAGCCGTGGAACTTGCTAACTAGCACATTATTAGGAAAGGCAATTTGCAAAGATCCATAAAAAAAAAGTATACTCGGTTCTTCTGTAGGTGAAGCTGGATCACAAAAGATTTGTGCGAACATAAACGCATTTAGGTAGATCGGGGAGCATTCTCTTCAAATACAGAAGTAATCCTTCAGCGGCTCAGATGTCAGGAGTAAATGACGACTGCTATGTTCATTATAACATCCAGCAACAAAACACCTCAGGAGTAAATGACGACTGCTATGTTCATTATAACATCCAACAACAAAACACCTCAATCGCGTAGGAGAAATTCTTGTCTACCTCTTGAAACAATGGCGGACTGTTGACAGCTCACTCAGGGCGCCAGTGTCAATCAACAATCATGGGAGGGGCCTGAGAATGGATTGATCTGAGAAAGGGGTTATAACTTCTGGGGATTTAAAAAAACATTGGGTGGATTTTTATCATTATAGGGTGGTTGTGCACACTGACAAGACACATTTCAGTTCAAACAACATGTAAAAGTGAATTTTGCATCCGATGACTCCTTTAACAGTTAACATGATTTGGCTCTTGATTTTATTTAATTTTTTTCTTTGCCGGGAGGCAAACACAGCGAAAATGCATGGAGTAGTAAGAGCATCTAGTTCACAGTGGCAAAAACGCGTTGTGAAAAAAAAAACTGGGGGCAATCAGAGACATTCGCATTTGATTTCTCAGATGATCACTAAATTTGCCAAAAAACAGTAGGTAATTTGCTCTGGGATTATTACAGAGGTTGTGGGAGGAAAAACCGATTTGGCAGATTCAGATGGGATTAAAATCGCAAAGTACGTCTGTAAAACAATTTCTCTAATGTCTCCCTGGAAAACTAATCCCCTCTGAATAGGGCTTAGGGCTGCACAACATTTTGAAATGCTAAAATGTACAATACTGCAATTAGGACTGGACAATTCTTCAATATCAATATGTATCGCGATATAATTTTTTTCAATAATGGTGATATGATTTTTAAACATTTCCAATATTTCGATATACATTACCAGTTTCCCATACATTGATTTATTTGTGCCGTTTGACTTCGTTGAATAAACATGAGCACTGCACGTTTCAAAATCATAAGACGGCGCGGGTGTTTTATATGAATGTATCTCTGAAGGGAATTGATTGTCTTCAGAAAAGTTTCGATGGCATTTTCATTTGATCTGATAAAGTAGCATTCATGAGCGGAGCTACTTTGGTTACAGCCATTACTGGGGAAACCGCTAGTTTTATCCCTCTAAAAGCGCCTCCTGCTGGCAGAGAATGAGTTTTCATTTTAAATAAGCCCGTCTCCAGCAACATTTCCAGTTTTGGTTGTAGTTAAATTTTTTTGTTTTCTGCAGCGACTCGGAGCACTTTTCATACCCTTTTTTCTGGCTGAAGCACATTTGTTTCAATCTATAAGAATAATCAGCCTACACTACCAGTCAAAAGTTTTTGAACAGTAAGAATTTTTTTTTTTTTTAAGAATTCTCTTCTGCTCACCAAGGCTGCAATTATTTGATCCAAAGTGATGATAAAGGCATTTATAATGTTACAAAAGATTTCTATTTCAGATAGTGTTCATATCAATATCGGAATTATATCGTATCGACCGAAGGCCATATCGTCCAGCCCTAACTGCAATATGCAATTTCAGCAACACAATTGAAATGTTCCCAAGTCCAGAGATGTAGAAAGGAGATCGGTAAAATAATCCGTGTGACATCAGGGGTTCAACCGTAATTTTACAAAGCTACGAGAATAATTTTTGTGCGCAAAAAAAAACACAAAAAAAACCACTATTCAACAATTCGTCTCCTCCGCGTCACCCTGGTGATTTGAACTGAACGAAAACAGTGTATCCGTGTGACGCAGCTGACACAGAACAGCATACACGGTTTACGTCCAGCGGATACTCTCCAAAATGGCACTATTTTTTTAATAAATTGTTGAATAAAGTCGTTCTTTTTTTTTTCTTTTGTGCACAAATTATTCTCGTAGCTTCGTAAAATTACGGTTGAACCCCTGATGTCACACGGATTATTTTACCGATCTCCTTGCTACGTTTCTGGACTTGGGAACATTTCAGTTGTATTGCGGTCTATGCAGGGTCAGACAGCTCTCAGATTCCATCAAAAATATCTTAATTTGTGCTCCGAATATGAATGAAGGTCTTACGGGTTTGGAACGACATGAGGGTGAGTAATTAATGACAGAATTTTTGGGTGAACTAACCCTTTAACTTGTATGGAACATCTGCTGTTTTATTAGTCCAGCACAACACAGGTTCTGGATTTTCATTCAGTGAGTGCTATGGATATATACTCACAGGTGTACCCAGTTTGGTCTGAGAAGATAATTTCTTTTTCATGGCTTTCTCATCAAAGTTGGCACTTCTCTTCACATACACACCTCCATGCTGTGAAGGACATCAATCATAGTCAAACCACAAACATACAACCGGTCCTATTCATTGAACACAAGCAGAATAAACTTGTGTAAACTGTATATAAAACCATTCAAAAACCAAGAACATAAATGAGGTCTAAAGGTTTTGAATTAGATGCATACACTACCTGTGAGAAATACCATCCATACAAAGGAAGCCACTTCAGACCATCTTTCAGAACGTATCTTACGTGTCCAAGTGCATTTTGTCGAATGGCTAACATGTCAGCAATGATCCAATCAGCTACAATGGAGAACACAACCCTTACAAATGGTACAGTAATGGTGTCAGATACCATGATACGGAGATATACAGTGTGGTACCATATTATTTACCAACAAATAAAAATACATATAAAAAAAAAGTTTTCCCATGGTATGCATCATCTATTTTGTAACATTTATAGATAAGAGCATTGAGACTTACTTGTGGATTGATGGTTTGACAGGTAAACCACATTCTCCTTCTTTGGTATGTCCCCATAAATGACAATCTGGACAGATATTTTTTATGAACATTTCAATACATTAGACAACAAGAACAATATAGTTAGAATGAACATGACTTTGAGGACATTACTGTCCGAAAAAAGGTCTAGTTTCTAGTTTTATCGTAAGTGGAACAACTGTGTTTTGTTCAATAAGTTTAATTGATATGGATTTTGTTCCCTTAAAAGGTGAAGTTAGCCATATCTGAGAAACAATGCTGATAAATGAAATCAACATTCAAACAAAAACATCCCCACCCAAAACAAACACAGCCCTCTCTTCATGGCTTTGCCACAAAAATCACAAACACACTATGCAACACACACATTTTACACACAAAAACAAAACAAAATACAGGTCCATACCCCTCCTCCCCAAAAAAACTTTCTGAAACTTACACGAACCCTAAAGGAGTGTATTTGGCACAAATACTCAAGTCAAACGTCCAACTAGTTTTTTTTAAACTTTGGCCATGTTTAGCATCAGAATCCAAATCCCACTTGTATCATGGTTCAACTTGAAATCTGACAACACTTCTATAATAAAGTTTTTATAAATAACAACATGTAAAACAGACAGAGTTTGGCTAATGTATGTTTCTGTTGATGGGTATGAGCATTCTGGCTTCCCAATACATTACAACGACAGCAATGGAAAAAAAAAAACAACAACACATGGACAAACCAGTCACTCTCTGTTCAGTGTGAGTGCGACATGCTCAAATATGACCTGTCATTTATGCTGTCATCACCCAAGGGTTGATAGCGTGCATGCAGGTGAGACCTGAACAGCACATGTTGCCATCTGTGTTTAAACTAAACTCATTTAAGCCTTTTCAGTTTAAACATTCAAGAGCCAGAAGACATGAATGAGAAACTTCACACAGGGAGAAGATTTGTGTGCACACTCATCCATAGCGAGCAAACTCGCGTCTCAGAACTTGCACAAATATTGAGTTCGATTTCAAGTCTTGTGCTTGAATGGACAAATTCTCACAAAAATTGTGTCAAAATACCCATCTTGATAAGTATCCTAGCAGACATAGTTGAAAGTACAGTATCTGTGTACTGGATCTGTGCATTGACAGCACTTATTTGAATGTTAATCAAACAACAAAAACAAGGAAACCACTCACTGCTTTTGGCTGAATAGCTTATATATCTTAAAAAAAGAGATTAATCTTTAATTTATACTGTCAAATATGCAATGTTATTTTACTTGTATTCATGTGTATTCATTTTCTGTACCTAAAAACTAATGTTAGACCTACCTAAAAAAAACACTGTTTATTTTATTTGTACTTTTGCTCTGTTGTATTTATTTGTGCTTGTAGTGTATGTATTGTGTTTCTTGTAGTTAGATTATTTGTTCTTATTTTCTTTATTTTTATTTGACCGTATAGTTTTTTCCCCTAAACATAGCACATACCCAACCGTTCCGAAACTGTGACTACAACCGTGATACAAACTGAATCGTGAGTAAGCTGAACTATTACACCCTTAATAGGTAAGCATTATGAGTGGTGGCTGCACCAGCGCTATCGATGAAATAAGAGGGTTACAAACATGCCTGCCTTGATATATTGATGCTCATGAGCGGCACTATGAAGGAGCTAGCATGTGCTCCAGCACCCCCAAGAAAGACCAAAGCACCCCATACATAAAAAAGATGAAAAAATAAAAATTTGACTAATTACACATGCATAACTTGTGCAATGTAATACAACGTGACATGATTTGCAGTCGCACATTTCGTAATGTCATAGGATTTTATTTTAATAATTGATCGGTTCCTTGTGCCAAGTAGGGCCTGCCCCAGACTAAGGATTTTTCTAGTCAACTAGTCGCACGTTTATATTAAATTGATTAATATAATAACCTACTAAACCATCTTTTAATAGGGTCATTCTGTGTCAACTCAACCAGAGATCCCCGGCTCAAATTTTAGATTTTGATAATATATTTTTCCGAAGAGAGATAAACATATTTAGTGATGAAAGCCAAAATATTAAATGTCATGTATGAATATTTACGGAGTAATGCGCTTTTTTGAAGAGGAGGGTCAAAATGGCAATTTTCACCCAAAATTCAGAACCAAATTGCAGGGGGGTAAAAATGACTTCAGAAATATGGCAGCATCATAATGTTACTTTTTCACAGAGATTGGTAGGTCTATATTCACATCTGTCTTGTTTGGTTCGATTGAATCGAACTCAAGTTTGTTACCCCTCTTGGTGCGGAACTTTTTGGCAGGTGTGAATACAGCAATCACACTCTGGTGCGGACCAAACAACCGTACCCAGCGGAAGAGGTGGTCTCGGTTCACTTCCAAACGAATTCTGGTACAGTTCGTGTAAGATGTGAATATGACCCGACCTCGATCCGATACAATTGCAGAAATCACGCTCAGAAACAGACAGCTCTCGCATATAGTGCTGTTATTTGTGTTTCAATGGCTTAAATAATGCTTAAAAACACATACAAATTATGAGTTTTCGTGACCATGGCGTACAGCAACGTGACCCGAGCGTGCTAAATAGGCTAAAGCTTGCTGCAAAAATTAACATGACTATGTTGGGGGAAAATAGTAAGGAGATATTTGAATTTTTTATTAATAAACTAGTGTTTTATGAGTCAGTGTCGCTATGAAGTTGATGACCCTGACTCACCATCTCATCATTGGACACGCTTTTAGAAAGAAATGCATCTTTACGGATTACATAAGAGGTTATGGATTTGAATTATTTCGTTTTGTAGTCATTTAAAGCTTTCTATAGATATATTCATCAAGTCTGTAAGGAAAATATTAGCTGAATTTCTGTGCATTTTTGTGAAGCGCTCCTGTTCAAGACAGAGACGGCAAGCGCATCCTATTTGTTTTCTTTATTTTACAAAAGCACAACGTTTTCTTGATATTGTGAGTGCACACAAATAAAAATAGACCCTTTACAGTTCCGAACGATGTATTATTCTTACCTTTATGAGCAAAAATTATGGCGTATTAAATTTGTTTCCACTGATGTCCTGAAGCGCACTTCAGCTTCCACTCTCCGCACAAACGATTGGATATGCACCTAATAGCAGACATTTATATAGGTTAAATGTTTAAACTAACATTGTGATATGCTTTAAGTATTTTATATCTGTAGATTTTATTTTCGGCAAGTCGTAATTACAACATCGTATGACATGGTCTCATATGATGCTCATAAGTTTCTTCATATTGTGTTAGTATCTGAAAACACCAATTCATTAATAAAAATTGCACTATGAAAAATCTCCATGATTAGCCTGTTTTTGTACTTCCTGTTTTTCCCTGCTTGAGAATTTGTCCAATGAATGGATCGCCTTAGCACACGTGTGGTTTTGTTTACAATTTCTGGTTCACTTGCAAAAAAGGGCAGTGTGAAAGCGAACTGCATCAAACAAACAAACAAAAAAAATCGACATTGTATTGGGTCCGGACCAAAGCAAGTGAACTAGCGGGCTTTCCTGGTGTGAATACACCCTTAGTAAAATCTGTTGATTTTAGCAATCTTTGTTGAATTATGTGCCAATGGTGACCGTTCAAAAATGGGGAAAGAGCACTTTAAGTAGATTTAATACTTTAAAAAAAAAAAAGTATTAAAAGATATCTTAATGCCCTTTTAGATTTTGGGTCTTAAACTTTTCTCTTGACGTCTTCATTTTTAAGGCCCTATATTGTTCAGTTCTTGAGATATTGGAATTTCAATATGGCTCCAGGAGTAAATCGTTAAATTGTACACATTTTTAGTGGTCAAAAACCAAATGTGGGTCAATATCCAAAAATATGATACTTATTTTCTTTTAAAGAGGAATGTCTGAAGAACAAATAATGTTGAAACTAGAAATGTATCGGGTTTCCTTCTGTCAAAAAAACTGCATTGAACATAACTGTCCGAATGCCATAAATATTATTTTTCCAAAGTTTGCATGCCTATAACTCAAGAAGTCTTAAAGGGGTCATATGATGTTGCTAAAAAGAACATTATTTTGTGTATTTGTTGCAATGAAATGTGTTTATGCGGTTTAAGGTAAAAAAACACATAATTTTCCACATACTGTACATTATTGTTTCTCCTCTATGCCCCGCCTTTCTGAAACGCATCGTTGTGATTGGCCGAATACCTCAAGCATGTGACGGAAATGTTACGCCTCTTACCATTATTGTGATACCGTGTCCCGGCCGGAGCGATGAGACCAAAACATTAAAACCCATTATAAACGAGGCACTTGTTGCATCCAGTGGGGACATAATTACGGATTATAATGATTTATACTGTCTTTTTACGCGTTGTGTTGCATCGCGCGTTGCATCCAGTGGGGACATAATTACGGATTATAATGATTTATACTGTCTTTTTACGCGTTGTGTTGCATCGCGCCGTGTAAACATAAAACCATGTCGGGATGTGTGATCGGAAAAATGACAAACAACAAGTGCTACTCTACACAGCTCAAAACTCGCGTTTGAATCATCAGTGGCAAATCCTTTAAATATGAAAAACGTACTTACAGTCTGGGAGTCAGAACAGATTCATTGTAGTCTACTCTCCCAGGAAACAGTCGTCCATAAAATGCGTTGCACACATCTGAATATTGTTTCGAAGAATGTTTAAACCCAGAGAAATAAGCAACTTTAACTAGTGACACGGACAGTGTCTATAGTGTCATTGTGTCACCTGCCAATGACGTCATACACCCTCGATTTCCGGTTTTGTTTAGCAGAAAACATTGGAAACACCAAAGATGCTTTATGTTGTGCATTTTATTAGACAGGTGAGGACAGCACAGACTAGCATTATAACAGAACTTTCAAACGTATCTAGTATGATAAAACAATGCTGCTTTACCCCACATACGCACAACCGGAAGGAGTGGAAGTGCTAAAGTGTGGCATAATAAAATCTCCGCTGCTTTCGAGCCATGTGTCACTCTTGTCTCTCATTAGCAATTGCTTCAGCGGCCTCGTTTCGCTTCGACTGCTTTCCGCCTCACACTGCTTCATACTACGATGTTAATAAATCTTTAATACATTAGCTCATCCATGAACATGATTTCTGCCTGAGTCCCGTCAGATTGCGTCGCCTGTGGGGATGAAGACGACAACTCCCATGATTCCACACTCAGTCACGGCGTCATCAAACTACGCCTTTGTTTCTTTTGAATACGCGCCCTCTAGGGGTGAAAACTTACATATTGTACCTTTAAGTAGTATCTACCGCTAAAGGGCATATTTGGCAGAATCACTGATAGTACCTCACACATTTAAGAGCCCTCACACTTGGAATAATTAACACTGGGTAATTCTAAACCCCAGGTAAACAGGATCCCGAGTAATCACACGGTTCATACTTTACCTATAGATAACAATTAATCTTGGTCATTCATAATCTGACGAATTCTTCAGATATTCTGCTTTAAATACAACTAAATAAAGTTTGTCAAGACAAATAGCGTGGAACTTCGGATACATGCAGCATTGTGTGTACATTTCTGAGCGGCAAAAGTGATAGATCTGTAAAGTAATATATTGTGAGAGGGCCGTGTATTACCGCATCCCAAACGACTCAAAATAAACCACAAAGTTAACAAAACGATGCACTCTTCACGTGCTATCGGAAACTTCCTATTTCCCACTTATGAAGTTGTGATTACGGGCACGTAATCACAACTTCATAAGGGCACGTAACAATTCTTTTCTGTTAAAAACAACAGTGAACAGTGGTTTGTGAATGTTGATGCTTAGCCTAAATAATTTTATCGGGAGCGTTCATGTGAGGGCTGTCTTAGGTCCACCCCAAATGCTTTCATTTGTTTGAGACGCATGATGACGCACATCACAAGTCAGTACTGATCAACATCCCACCACTCCTGTGACTCATGGTTTGTCACAGGCCTGCAAACTTGAGAAAAACTTGAAGTGCTCTTTCCCCATTTTTGAATGGTTACCATTGGCACATAATGCAACAAAGATTGCTAAAGTCAACAGATTTCACTAATAGACCTACCAATCTCTGTGTAAGAGTAACATTATGATGCTGCCATCTTTCTGAAGCAATTTTTAGCCCCCTGTAAATTGGCTCTGAATCTCAGGTGAAAATGGCCATTTTGACCTCCCTGTTCAAAAAAGCGCAATAATCAGTAAATATGAATCCATTACATTTAATATTTTGGCTTTCATCACTATACATGCTTATCTTTTTTCAGAAAAAATATTAGCAAAATCAAAAATACAATAAACCCATATTTATATATTATTATAGGTAAACAAAACCAAAAATCTGTGTAATAAGTTAACTATGAATATACAATACATTATCCCTTAAATGTCAACCTTATAGATTGAACGTTCGTTCATCTTGGCTCAAAGCCACTTGCTGCAAACTTTTCTTCGCGGAAGCTTTGCGTTAAACAAGTGAGATAACGAAATATTTAATCTCTAATCAATATTTTGTATCCAATTATTTGCCCAGTTAGTTTTGGTACTGAGGTAAAAGTTGCCTTGCATTCGCTATAACAGTGGGTGGTGGTCACGAAGATAACTTTGCAGTGACTTTCTTCTTGCAAGATCAGCAGACAGGGTGACGTCCTCGTTTAAATTGCCTTCAGGACTCTTGTAAAAGCCAAAATATGACCAGACCACCGTTTTGGTCCTCTTAGATGCTCCCGAGCGCTGTCACTGCCTTCCGCCATTTCGTCTCGTGCAAAAAAAACAAAAAAAAACATTGCATGCTGCTTCTGCGTCAGACCGATGGTGGCTGGACAGGATTTACCGCGAGTTTTCAAAAGCGCGATAATCAAACACGGTTTTGATGATAATAAAAATTTAAATGGTAATACTAACCGTCAGGGCATTTTATCGTGATTTATCGTGAAACCGGTAATCGTTCCATCCCTAGGTGAGATAAATATTTTTTTAAAATATCTAAAAAAAATGCTCCCCTCCACCCCTCAAATTAAAAAAAATCCCCTCTCAGAAGAGTCACATTATAAGAGGAGAATACCCCCCCCCATTTTCAAAAATGAAATCCAGGCCCTGAATAAATGTCTAAAACTCCTGATTGGAGTATTACTATAAATAATTCTACATGATAAAAAATAAGGCTTTAAAAAGATCTGTATCGGCAGATGCTGCTTTCTGTGATTGGCGATCGGCCTCAAAAATCCTGATCAGAGCACCCCTACTAAAAACCCTGAAAATCACTGTTTATTTTATATGTATGTTTACTCTATTGTATTAATTTGTGCTGTTGCTTTTAGTTAGATAGATCAGTGTTTCCCAACCTTTTTTTAGTCGCGGCACCCTTTGGAAATTTTAACAAACTTGTGGCACCCCACAAAATTAATTGTCACAATATTTGAATTTCTAACTTCGATGTAATAATTTGAAAAGTATAGATATTCGGTACAACAGGGAAGAACTGCAGAATATAATGTCATACAGCTATTTTTAATATTATTAAATTTTGTCCAACAATGGTGGCAATCAGTAGGCAAATTTCTAATGAAGAGACCAATTTATATGACAGATTTTAATGTAGGCTTTTATACATATGTAAACATTATTTAATTACCATTATAACTAGCTATCTCACACATTTTTGCTCACTCAGAGTTTTTTTTATTTTATACTGGGGTAATTTTGGTGCAGTAGCACGAGATAGCTTGATTTCAAACTTTGAATTTAATAAAAAAATGACAAGCAGTCAGTAATAAAATATAAACAAAAAGAAATTAATAATGATAGCACAAATAAAAAATAACGACAGGCCTTCGAATGAAATAAATTGCTTTTTAGTTATTCAGGTAGGTCTAACAGTAGGGTTAAGATTTTTTTTTTTTACCAATTATCCAAATAATGTTTAGTCCTAGAAAGCTATTATTATCAGAACACGCGAGCATAACATAGCGGTCAGCAGATCAATGAATGAGAGGGCAGCGTTACCAGAGTTGCCCATATAGCACACCATGTTACAACACAGTAGGGCTATTGCAGACAGAAACAATACTGTACTACATTGATGTTTCCTGTCGGCTAAATTTTTGAGTGGACTTTGCTGTTCCGATTCGCATGAACGGTATACGAGTAGAGCGACTGAGCGGAGCACACACGTATAGAGCGGGATAATACGCAGAGCATCACACCACGTGATAGTGATACCATAAATAAATTCAATGCACACAGACTGAAGTAGTTTAAAGGGGTCATATGATGCGATTTCAAGTTTTCCTCTCTCTTTGGAGTGTTACAAGCTGATTGTGCATAGATAAGATCCCTGAAGTTGCAAAGACTAAAGTCTCAAAACCAAAGAGATATTCTTTATCAAAGTTAAGACTGTGCCACGCCCCCCTAAAACGACTTGTTCTAACACGCCCCCACATATCTACCTCACTATGTGGAAATATTAGCATAATGCGGCCCAAATGTTCATGAAAAGAAAGAAGGCGTGGTTTCAGTAACTGCAGTGAGTGTTGAAGCAGCATGTCAGGGAAACGCTGTGTGTTTCAGTGCGAAAGCAAAAGCACTTTATTTGGCCTTCCGAAAGTAGATGCATTTAGGAATCTTTAAGATTACTTACAACAGAACAGCAATGCATTTTATGGACGACCGTTTCGTGAACCTAGGAGAGGAGGTCATTCTGACTTTGCTATGACCATCTGGCGCTTCTGAATCAGCTACTGTTCTGTTATTAGTTTAAGTATTTGCTATTGACTGTTCAAATGCGGAGTTTTGCGCATCGTGTGTGTGTGTGTGACAAAGAGTGAGTGAGAGAGATCACAGTGGAGTCAGCTTTCTTAACCGTGGCTTGTGTACTGCACACATACCAGCTTCATCACTGTGTCTGACTCTGTTCCCCTTTCGGGCTCTGTGCTTGAACTGATGGTAAAACTAATGACATTATTTACCGTCTTTACATTTGTTTTGAAAGATGAAGCTCGCGATTAGGGTAAGGGGCGTTACATTTCCGACGAGTACTTG